CATGTCTCACCCTCCTTTTTTGTGGAAAAGCTAGCTTCAGCAGTAGCATTGTGCTCCTGGGCAATTATTACTGTGTACGAACTGCCACACAAACATGTCACACTGTGTTGTATAGCCCTTCATCCAACACGCCCTTGAAATGTAAATTAGTGTTTCTTTTGTCTCATCCAAGTGGACAACAAATTGTGTGGAATTCAAATCAAATCTGCAGGGTCTTTATTTGCTGTTTCTTTGTGTTCTCAGCTGAAGAAAACAGTAGAGGAGCTCAATGATGCTTTGGCTACCAAGGAAGAGATCTCCCAGAGGTGTCGCGAGCTTGACATGCAGGTTGGTTTTATGCAGTTGCGATCCCCCATGTTTTAGGCTGTTTGATAAGTGGTTTTGTAAACCATAGCACAGTATGCAGGTACTCTTATCATGTCTGAATGACCTAACCTGAAAACTATAAACCCCACCAGTAGGTCTGGCAAAGTCAATTATTTATTACAGTAGCTCACTATTAAAAAAAGGAGCATGTGAATAATTGAGATTAAAGTTATTATTAGTACCATTTGGTGTATTCATGGTGCTGAAATTATATTGTATAAACAAATAGTATTCCTACAATCCACCAAATTAAAGTTTTTTTTTTTTCTTACTTTGTCTGCTATATTTTGTAACTCTTTTACTATATTACTGATTGTGTCTTACTTCATACTTTTAAAGCTATTTTATTGGTTACACTTTAAAAGCAGCTCCCTTTTCTGCATAATTGCCCTGTAATGGTATCAAAAATGCTGATTCTGTTACTACTGATGTACCTTTCTTATACTTACTTAATTATTTCTTTGTCAGATTGTTCTATTTTTTCACCTTAATAGTGATGAACTTTTGCAAAAGGAGAGTAACTCACATCTCTTTCTATCTTCATAGCAGTTGATCACGATGGACAAACATATTTTACATTTATTTTCTGCTAATGACAGTTTTTGCAAGAAAAATGGAGCTGTCGTTTAAAGCGGTGCCTGCTCTCCTGTTGTGTCCTCTTATTTCCTGACTATTTCAATACTGTATGCCTTGCTTTAAAGGCCCTCCATGTCCAAGAGGAGCGTGATAGACTGAGGTTAGAGTTTAATGAGCTAGAAGAGAGGGTAAATCCAAACTTTCTTTTCTTTCTGTCTCTTCCATCCATGGTGTGTGGTGTGTCTAAAAGTCCTGGATTTTTTTTCAGTCTGCTTGCACCAGCATCCCCTGTGGAATCCAGAGTCCCCTTTCTCCTACTTATGTGTGCATGTGTGTGTACACGTTTGTGCACAAGTGTTTGTGCACAAACGTGTACACGTGGTCCTCTTGAGGCACACCAGGCACAACTGCAGTTTTGTGTGGGTGTGTCACTTGTCACCCCTTCACTAATAACCCCTCTCAGCCTTTTTACCTTGGTGTGTTTCATGCTTTTCCACATCAACAGTAGACAGTAAGAGGAAGAACTTGGCTTTTGGGTGCAGGAAGGAGACATTTCTTGGCAGAGCTGTTGAATATATATCAAATATTTACATATACTGAATATTTATTCATATGTGATATCATTATTTTAGATTTTTTTCCATTTTAAATGAAAAAAGCACACCAAGAATCTTATTTAAAAAAAAAAAAAAAACAGGACTCTGGCCAGCAAGCGATCAGCAGCATCTACTGTAACTCAATATTCATAGGAATTAAGTATGTTTTTAAGAAAACCCTTTTCTGGTTTTAAGAATGAATAGAACTGAGTTTCTGTCCATTTCCTTCTTTTTGAGCTGTCCTGATCACGTCTTGGATGTGATGTAGACTTGTTGCAGTGAGAGAATTTTCACACTGGTGCAAGTTCTCCCAGAATGCTTCCACATAACACTGTTACAGACGTTTAAATGGCATACATTTTACACACAGGAGTGTTAGACAACATTTAAAAAACCACATTGTCAATAAAACTGTAATGGCTTATAAAATACACAAAATGAATCATGCAAGATAGATAATACAGGTGTTATAACACTTCAGTATCTACATACTGTAGGTATAATGAAAATAAAATAATATCCCTTTCACTTACATACGCTATTTAGTTTTGTGGATATCAGCCAGTTTAGGCTCATATTAAGGTAACTTTCCCAAAAAAGCATGGTTATATTTTCTCTTAAGAAAAATATTAAGGTCAGTTCTTACATTAACTGAGGTACAGCAGACTTGGTAAATAGTATAGTATTGTGGTACATAAAAACTGCTTCTGCTTTGCTTTGTGTGGAGTTTGATACCCTGTCTATCACATTGAGAAGGCAACATCAAACCATATGTAGCCCTCTATGCTATGTTGGAGTTTGTTGGTTTGCCTTGTTGAAGTGTGTTTGGTGTGTGCTTGCTTTATTACAAACTCAGTGCTGCAGTGATTGTGAATAACCTATCGGACTGAATGCTGTGAAGAAAATGTTACATGCACATTAAAGTAGCTTTAGAGATACAATTTAAAAGTTTTCAGTATCATTCTCTGCTAACTTATTTCCCTTCTCTGCTTCTCTTCTCTATCTAAACATCCTTTCCATCCCTTTTTACACCTCCTATGCTCCCTTTTATCCATCTGTCCTCCTCCATCTCTGTCTGCCCTTTCTGCTCCTTTTTCTTTTTGCATTTCTATCTGTCCCCCCTTCTGCCATCTTCTCTCCCACAGGTCGCTGCCCTGCAGGAGGAGAAGAGCAGTTTGCTGGCAGAAAACCAGGTCCTTATGGAGAGACTTAACCAGTCTGACTCCATAGAGGATATAAACAGCCCAGCTGGACGCAGACACCTCCAGCTGCAGACACAACTGGAGCAACTACAGGAAGAAACCTTCAGGTGTGTAGCTGCTCGAAGGAGAGAGATACTGTCATATGAAAAGCGAGTTGCCAAGTTGCATTGGCTGATAATGATGTCAAAAGTCTTAAGATTGGAAAGATTGCAAATGTTGCTAATTCTCTCTTAGGCTGGAGGCAGCAAAAGATGACTACCGGATCCGTTGTGAAGAGCTTGAAAAGGAACTTTTGGATGTAAAGTCACAAAATGAAGAGCTTGCATCACTGGCTGATGAAGCCCAGTCTCTCAAGGATGAGATGGATGTTCTCAGGTAAAACAGAGATTAAAAAAAAAAGACTAAACACTAAACAAGTGACTAATTGTTTGCAAAATCTCACTTAGAGAATCACAAGTTATAATGTTAACATTCATTGTCTTACAGATGATGTTTGTTATGCGCTTATTTAAATGTTATTTTAAATATTGTTTTAGAATGCACTAAGAGGTGATAAACCATTTGTAATAACCCATGAGAGGCTATATGACATGAAATGTATTAGGATGATGTATTGGTTGCTAAAAACAACACAACAACATTGCATCATGGAATCATAATTAAAGATATAAATTATTTGAAAAGTAATAAGACTTGCACCAAAAGCCCAATGGGAGTGGAAATGAGTCAGAAAAACAGGAGATGACAGAAGACAAATAATGTATTGTTGGGTCACTATCCTGTTATTTCAGACTTCTGTTGTTACAGGTGTGTTGATACTCAAACAGAGCCTTGGTAAAACTCCCTCTCCCTACCCCTCCCCCTCCCCCCTTTGTTTTTTGAATGTAACATCACAAAATGAATCTGTTTCTCTCCCAGGCATTCATCAGATAAAGTATCAAAGCTGGAGGGCACAGTGGAACACTACAAGAAGAAACTGGAGGACATGGGACTTCTCAGGAGACAGGTAGACAGTCACAAACAGACAACAGCAACAACTTAATATATTTAATATGAGGAGTTCTCCTTTTTTCTAACAATACTTTACACAGGTGGTTGGTTTGCAAGAAAAATATAGTTCCAATCAATATCTTTTACTAGTGACCTCCCTGTTAGTCTAACAATTGGCAATATTCGTTCGTCAAAGTTAAACTGCACAAATAAAACTTATAATTCTGTTGCTTTATTTCAGAATAAGCTAATGGAGGAGAAGCACACAGTATTAATGCAGACCAACGTCAGTTTGGAGGAAGAGCTTCGAAAGGCGAACGCTACCAAGGGCCAGCTGGAGACATACAAGAGACAGGTACCCAACCAACAGCCATGTGCACATGCAATAATCGTTACTTAAATAGCAGGGCGATGTACCCCGATTGTAACTCTCACACATATGTATAGTATATTTGGAGAGATGATGTCTTCTCATTAAGTGCCCTTTCTCTGCACAGGTGGTGGAACTTCAGAACAAACTGTCAGAAGAGTCTAAAAAGGCCGACAAGATGGAGTTCGAGTACAAACGAGTCAAAGAGAAAGTGGACTCTCTACAAAAAGAAAAAGATGTACGTAAAGTAAATTTTATTCATATAGGACCAGTGCACTATAAAACAATGTCCCAACAGTATTCCTTTTACTCTGCAAACACATAAATATACAGTTTTCATAGAATTATCCCACAATATATTTTATTGATGTACTAGAAGGAGAGGAGTAACATTGGATAATACCAGAGGCTGGGAATGAATTCTGCAGTGTGTTAGTTGTCCCTAATTGATTTACAGATGCATTCTGTAGGCACATTGGGGATATTCATTCCAGACCTTGCATTATTTCTCCCTGTCATACTTTTTCTGTATAAGTGCATCACACATTTGTCACTCCCTCTGTAGCGTATGCGGACAGAGAGAGACTCTCTGAAGGAGACTATCGAGGAGCTCCATTGTGTCCAAGCCCAGGAGGGACAGCTTACAGCAGGTAAAATTGATGACTGTCAAGAGTGGCTAAATATAGGTAGCTAAGCATGGCCTTTTTAAAGCTACAGTAAGCACAGTTTACTTGGGCAAGCCTAAATACCTCCAATGTTATCTTATTATTTGGTTCAGGTGACTACCTCTCATTGGCTGGCGCTTCTATATAGGTGTAGCCACATATGTGTTTGTTTGTTTAAAGCCCTGATGAAGACCTACAGTGGCCATTACAATACATGCTTTTAATATTTTTGTTTTTGGAGTGCCTGGATTGCCTTTTTTTCATCCGCAATCTATCTGTTTGTTTTAGGTTTGTTACCATTGGCCAGCAACGACGGTTCGGATTCGCTGGCTGCTGAGATCACCACCCCAGAGATTAGGTATGACTTTTGAACCCCACTTTATCTTTTTTTTCTTTTCTTTTTTTTTCTTTTTTTACTTTTCTAAAAGTAGAAGAGAAGAGAGAATAAATAGAAATACAGTAGAAGTACAAACATCAGATCATCGGACATAAATATATTTGGTAGTTGGGTAAGTTATGGTAAATATCCCTTCTCAAATATCACATCATAGCATCACATCTGTCTTGTTTCAAACAACATGCTTTCAAGATTTTATGACACCATGTGTTGCAAAATGCATGCTAAACACACATCAGTCAAGCTAAAGGATAAGATTTGAGAGTTGCTTTACAGTGTAGACAGTTGCATTCTCTACAGATGTTTCTAATCCTGTGTGTGCACATGCTGCGTCTGTGCTGCTGCTGTTTACTTTGTAGCCAGATTTTTCTTGCCGGTTACTCTTGCTCTGTCTGCTGTGGTAAGGTAGATGAGCCTAAAAAGAGCCACCTCTGTAGCGAGTTATGTAATAGTTGTGTGAGTTACATCAGCCTGACTGCTGCTTTCCAAGAGGGCTGGGTTTTCTGCTGGCTGCGTGCCGTGTCTTGATGAACCAAGAAAAATGTGGATTTACCTTGAAATCCTAATCCTCTAAAAGCTACTAATGGGGAAAGAAAAACCATCAGTTGAGTTAAGACAGTTGAGGCGATTCTTTCTAATGCAGAGATAGTAAGAAGAGCTGTTGTGCCCTGAGGTGATGTCATATCCTGCAACCTTTCAAAAATGGAAGTAAGATGTTGCAATAGTGATGTTTCCTGTGAGATATCTAAAGACAGTCACTGTGTGTGAAATACAAAATTGATAATTGTGTGTCTTGGCTGATGTGTGCTCATTTGTGTCTGTTGGTTCGGTTGTCAGTTCAACATCCAACAGTGAGTGTGAAAACTGCAGTTGGCCGTACCTTTGTGTCACATTTAAACCCATTACTTTCATAAGCAGCATCTGGGATTGATTTTTTTATAAACTAGCTGGAAATTAAGTTCTTCTGCTGTGTAGGAATCAGATCTCCACTAGAAGAAATCCGGTCATGTTGGTGTCATATTATATTCAATAAGCTGTATTAGAACCTCTTCTCTAGTCTTCTTTTGCCTTCCCTGGCCTAACCTTTGTCAGCCTGCAGCTGTGAGTTCATCTGGAAATATTTAGTAAATTCTCCAGTTGGAAAGGAGGCAGCCACGCCCTGAAAAAACACAGACAGAGAGTGACTGTGCTCAACTCTATCAAACAGCAGATCCAATCTTATCTGTTCAGTCCCACTATACAGTATAACAAAGTTTTCTACCTTTCTGTCTTTCCACCTGACATTTTTGTGTTTATCTGAGTACAAAAAGTCTCAGTCCTGCTTTTTTACCTCCCTTTGTACTGTGCACATTGCTCTGTTTTGTTTGTTTTTTCTTTTCTCTTTTTCATTCTTATTTTATGATGCAGAAATATAAATTAATGGGCCAGTGAAAGTGGGTGCACAGTCTCTTTCCACAGTAATTCAACTAAATTAATATAGGAAAGATAGATCAATACTGCTCTGGTGAAATCTTTTGTTTTTGGACATTTTTTTCACTGAATTTAACTTACCTGCTACCACTACAAATGTAAACCTCTTCACTGCCTGTCACAACACTGTAAAGGCAGTCTTTATCGACCCTTTCACTGCTACACACTGCTGAGAGGAAACATAGGAGGTGCAAAGGTGTTTGCATGAATGCAATAATGCAAACTGGATAATAGAAATAAAATTAAGTCGCATGAAGTAGGGATGTCCCGATCCGATCTCAACGATCTGTTGCAGATCAAGGCATTTTTAACTGAACGGTATGGGCTGTGTTGAGCTTTATTGATCTGATCTGATCTTTCGTTTTACGTCAGCTGTAATACAGCTGTTTTTTTTATTTGCAAAGCTTTCATGCACTGTGCAGCAATCGTCTTCTCTCTCGCTGTGTCTTTCCCCCTTTCTGCTCTGTGTGTGTGAGGTCTGTGCTCGGAGGAGAGAGGCAATAAAGATCCGACACAACTACATTCAACACGCCACTGCAAGTGCAACAAAAGACCCGCGAGCAAAGAGCCAATAGGAGTAATTAATTCATGTAATCCACACAAAAGATGTATAGACGACAGAAATAAACACTGAAGCAGAATACAGATTCAGAAACACATTCATTCAGGTAACTCAGGTAGAGGCTGTACTGAAGCAACAAACGCTGGAGAGAGAAAGACTGCCTCCAGACAGCGACAGAGGGTTTTTCAAACATATACATGTGATTGATTTTAGTAACTTTAATATTACTTCAGCTTTGTACTTTAGTGTGCACTGCGCACTGTAGGCTACGCTTTAAAATTAATCGGATCAAAACTCTGGATCCGCAGATACTCAATATTAAATGACTCAGATCGGATCCGGGGCTAAAAAACCTTGATCGGGACATCCCTAGTATGACCTAATTTTAGCATCATTGAGAAACGGCAATCAGTCAGGGGAGCAGTGCGAGATTACAACAACAAGAGACTTCTGAGTGGGTGTCTCACATATTTTTTTAGCTCGGGAGATGGCAATGTCAGTTAGTCTGGTTGTCCAACAAGGTGTGTTTAGATTCAACTCAGTTTCCCCAGTGAGAGCAATTTCTTTGCTGAAGAAAAGTGAAGTTACAAGAAGATTTAGGTTTAAAAACATTTTTTGTGTGTGTCTGTATGTATTGTAGAATTGAAGGCGGTGCTAATGCTATCTGAGGTCTCTGGTAAAAAAGACTATTAGGCAGTCAGACAGTTCATGGTGTATAATGTGTTTTAACTATATGTGACAAGTTATCAGTTAAATTTGAAATTAACACTTGCTTCTGTCCAATGTGTTTTTCCAGAGAACATTTGATTCGCCTTCAGCACGAGAACAAGATGCTGAAGCTGGCCCAGGAGGGATCAGACAATGAGAAGATTGCACTGTTGCAGAGTTTACTGGAGGATGCCAACAGAAGGAAAAATGAACTGGAGACAGAAAACAGGTCAGCTAAAAGCACAGAAACAACTTGCCTAGGAATAACACTATTTCATTCTCTCTCATTTGAGCTCAATATCGTATTGAAATTTAATGTCTCTTCATGTAGTTTTAAAACTCACATGTTCAGTGTCGGCAGATTTTATTTCCCTGTGTTGGAATCTGGATCAATCTCCCATTTATCTACCCACAAAGATTTTCTTTGTCTATACTGGAATTTGAATCAATGACCTTCTTAGCCAGAAGCCTGCCTCTCTGGTGTTTTATCTACCATTGTATAGCTTGCAGTTTGCTCATTGCTGTGTTAAAACTATCTTGTAAAACTGGTCTTTTGACCCTTTTTATCTAGGCTAATCAATCAGCGCCTGATGGAGGAACAGAGTCAGGTAGAGGAGCTACAAAAGAATCTTCAAGAACAGGGTTCCAAAGCAGATGATGTAAGTAATGAAATGTTATCTCTGTATTGCGCAAGTTTAACTCTGATATCAGTTAAAATGTTGGCAATAACCACAGAAAGTCAAATCCCCATCATACCACACTTGGTGAATAAAGATTGCAGTACATCGCTTCTCCTGAAGGCTTTGGTATTTCATTTTTAAAGGAACTAAAAAGGCAAAATTGTGCATGTACACCCAGCACATAGAAAACAGTTGAAATCACTTTTGATACTAACTCTTCCTAACAATAACCATTTCTAACACTCATCTTATGCATGATCTCAGTTTTCTGTGTGTGTGCATTTACATTGTTTGTATGTTGTAGCTGTGGATAGCCTTGAATGCATCAGTGAATTAATAAATGATAGCCCATGATAAAATCAGTAAAATAAATTGCATTTAGTTCGTATTAACATGTTTAACACAAATGGGGCCATTTTCATTGTATTTTTCTTTGTTCCTTCTCTCCTTCAAACTAGTTCCTAGTAGGGGGCAACTGGTATTTAGGAAGAGGAGGGTTGGAGCGTCTCCTGAGAAGGTTGATGTGTGAGAGAGAGCTCGCATGCATGTTTAACGTCATCTTTCATGAGCTGCATTGCTTCTTTACTAAATAATTAACCCTATTTTAAAATACTAAACTTTTTTTTTTGGGCGGGGGGTGATTTCTGGTTCTATTCCTGCCAGCCTGTGTAGATTTTGCATCCCATCACCAGTGTTACCATTCATGCTTTAACCATCTGTCTCTGATGAACATAACTCTTTTTTTTTGTCTTTTGAGTGTTTCATCGACACGACACAGTGCACAATAAGCAGAGAATGGAAATATGTATTTCCTTAATGCACTGCCACAGTTAAGGACAAACTGCCTTTTCTTTAAATAGAATTATCAGTACAGTTTCAGTCGTTTTGGTGAGGAGCTGGTGTGTCAAACGTCAGGTTAATGCATGGATGTAACACCATCCACATTTGGCGGGTCTGTGATTCTTGCCAATCAGTAAAATACTTTGCATTTTCTTTTCGAATAATGCTCCCACTGTCAGACTATAGTAAGTATGACTTTGTGATTCCTGACAAGTTTCCTCTTTTAGACTTTTTCGAGGTGTTTGCTTAGTTTTTTGATTTCCGGAGACAAATGTGTAACAACTCAAAATGTAATAAATATACACATTGTAAAAATTTTGCCTAATGTATTGCAAATATTTTGTATGTATGTATCATACGTTACATAAGGACTGCAAAATGCAACAGTTGCTTTGCAAATAGAATGACATCTTGACCAAAATCACTGCATTTTAACCTCGTATTGAGCATTTCATAAACTTTAATGTGTTTGTTACACTGAGTTGCTACACACAAGCTACACAAGAGATACTTTTTTTCCTAGCTAACTGTCGAGATTCTGCCTTTTCCTGTTAGAAATAGAAAGACATCTTTAATCATCCCGTAGGCATCCTCTTGTAGATCTTTCCTGTTTCCTCTTTCCTTGGTGCTGTTTGACTTCTAGTTAAGAGATACTCTGCAGATTTCTGCCTTCACATGATTTTGCTGCACACCACCTTAGATACCACATGGTTAGATAGTGGTACTGCCCGAGGAAACAGGATAAAAAAACATAAAAGCTTCAAAAAAAATAATTAGACCACTCCTCTAATTGTAACCATTCTTTGTGATTATCCAGGCTGGGAAATCACATAATCACCCAGACAAAGACTAGCTTGAAGTCTAGATTACTTCTCTATTGGTCTCTTTTCCAAACAGTATCTGTTCTACACTCCCCTCTGTTGGATAAAAGGGGGAATGTGTATAATTTTGTTATAGTGGTGCCTTTTATTTAGCACTGATGGATCATTTTCATTTAGGCAGACACTGTGCTGAAAACCTTTCGGTATATTTTTTTGTAATGTGTGACACACAAATGTGGCTGCAGGTTTAAAGATGAAGAAGACTTATGTGAAGCTAGCAGGAACTCCTGCATTTGTCTGAGAGTGTCTCTTTGAATGTTTCTGCACTTTACTATAAGATTTGGAAATTATATCTGTAGGTGGTATAGGTTGTAACAATATTATGTGTCATAAACAATATCTCTCTCTTTTTTCAGTCTTCCATTCTGAAGAAGAAGTATGAAGAGCACATGTAAGTTATTGTCGTACAGACCCAGAAATGTTGCTAGTTATGCCAGGTCAGGATAGCATAGAACTTTATTTTAGGGATGCACCAGTTTGAAAGTTCTTTGATGATAACAATGTTTAAAATAACACTTTGGCCAATAGCCAGTGTTTTTTGTTGTTATTTATTCACCCTTTTGTGCCAAGGAAAATTTACAAAGACTGGCATCTCTGCCTTGTTCCAGCTCAGTCTATTTCTCTTCTCATCGAAGATGTGAGACACAGAGCTGATCAGCCTCTCATTGTCCGTGTGTGTGCATAGAGCCCGTAGATATTTGCCTGCAGTTTGTGCCAGTACTGGCAAACTGTGGCGATTATTTCTCCAGTATTCAAGTTGGAAACAACCAACACCCCATTTAGCCAGCACAAAGTTGATGTAACACAACAGATAAACATTGGCCACTGATATTGGTGATTACCATCTTATTTGCCAATTGGCCATTGTCAATCAACAAGGCAAACATCGGCCAATATATCAGCGCATCCCTACTTCATTTTAAAAGATTTAAACCATCCTCTTTATTCAATCCTGAAATGCTTAACATGAAATATCAGACAAAACTAGGCCTAAAACACATTTCTTTTGCTTTGTATTCTTCACCAGGGAGAAATTACGAGAGTTGAACAATGAGTTACTGAAGAAAAACTCCTTCATTGATGAAATGGAGCCTAAATACAACGCCAGCTGTGAGTTTGGACCTCTGTTCAATTCTGAATGTGTCAAGTACAGTCGAAACCCACTGACCTCCATCCTCTCTTACCATCTGTTCCTATGATTTTTAACAAAAAAGTGTTATGTTGTTTACTTTCAGCCCAAAGAGTGGATGAGCTAGAAGAGGCCTTGAAGAAGAAAGATGAAGACATGAAACAGATGGAGGAGAGATATAAGAAATACCTGGAAAAAGCCAAGAGCGTAAGTACTTTCTTATTCTTTATTACAAATAACAAGTGAACTATCTTTCTGGAACCAATGATCCTTGCTGTAGATGTGGGTCAACAAAAACATGTATGTGTCCTCTTCAGGTGATCCGTACTTTGGACCCCAAGCAGAACCAGGGTTCAGGTCCAGAGGTCCAGGCCCTGAAGAACCAGCTGCAGGAGAAGGAGAGGATGTTGCACTCATTGGAGGTAATACAGGTTTAGAAGAATTAGATGGTCTGGCAAGGAATGGAGTGGACCTGTAGCTTATAGATCAAGTTTATCTCTCACCTTCTAATGAACCACCACAGAAGGAAGTCTGTCGAAGTGTGTGAAAACACATTGGAACAACAGCGTATTGTTGCCTGAAAAATACTTTCATTGCTTAATTTGTTGTGGCTTCGTTTTCTTTGTACAGAAAGAGATGGACAAGACAAAATGCCAGAGAGATTACGAGGAGAAACTGATTGTATCAGCTTGGTACAATATGGTAAGAAGGACTTACAACTGTCACCACTTTGACTAGTGTGCTTTTTAAATTGTGGCACATCATATGTGCAGCTGGGATTTAAGGGCAAGAAGAGAAAAACATAACATAATACACACAAAATCCTTAACATAGATAAGGAGAATAATTGTCAGATTGATTAATATTGAAATCGTTAGTTGCAGCCCTAAAGTAACACATAGCTGACCCAAAGCAGCAGTTGACAGCAATAACATATTAAAACAGTAATCTAAAGCACTAAAAAACATAGACTGACCTAAACATTATTTTAAAATAATTGTCCAGAAAACAATTGTGGTTGGTTCTTCCTTTTCATTTGGCACATTACATTCTACATGTGAATTTTAGTACTTTTGATGTTTTTGTAGTGCAGGCCCAGTATTGTATATAAGAAGTCCTGATCATGCACAAGTTGTGCATAAAGGCATTTTAACCACTAGAGGGCAGCATATGCTTTTCTATCAACTTAACAAACAATAATTGCTTGGTTACACATTTGATCAATAGCTGGTGTTAATACTTATGAGTTGTTAAATCAACACTATATTAATTGTGTATTTTACATAATATTGTGTTTGTGCTAATTTGCTTTCTCATGCATCAAGATTAGCAAACCAACGGTAGCTGATTCTCTGGTGACTCTCTTACTTTCAGTGTTAGAACAGTTTACTGCTGCTGCATAAGTTCATATTGTGCTATTGAGTCTATCTTGTTATACTGACAGTGAGCGTTAGGAACAATAATAAGACTTCCTCTGTATCTGTCTCCAGGGTATGTCTCTGCAGAAGAAGGCGGCTGAAGACAGACTTGCCAACTCCGGTTCTGGTCAGTCCTTCCTGGCCCGGCAGAGACAAGCCACCAGCACACGGCGCTCCTATCCAGGCCACGTCCAGCCAGCTACCGCAAGGTAGATGGCAGCAGGGCAGAAAAATACTGCGGCAAACTACCTTACAAATCCCCTGAACTTACATAACAGTAGATGTGCCTTTTTTGAGGCACACTATTTCCATTCATTTCTAATGGACGTTCTTGTTTCCCTTCATTCTGCCTATTGATTTTCTTTTTTTCTTCTTGATCAGATCCATGAGGTAGAGATGCCAGCCAAGGCTGCCCAAATCTTGCACCACTTTTTTTTTCTCCCCCCGACTAAGCATATGTTACCCTGACTTCCTGTGATGCCAGGCTTCTACTGTTTTTCACACCCCAGTATATTTGATAGGGTCTGACTAATCACTCCAAACACCCTCTCTTCCTCCCTCTCAACCACTGACCTTCCTCAACCTGTACTTGGTGGCAAACAGTTGCCAGGCAGGTAATCTGGACCCCAAGGCAGAGAAGAAGCGCATCCTCTACTGAATTTACTGTCATTTATGTTCAGAGGAACTGCTCTGCCTGTTCATGCAGTATTTATGCACATCTCTACCTGTGATAGCATTTGAGCTTCATCTTGTTTGTTGACTGGAGTTGTCAGATTTTCTGTTTTAACTCTTACAATGTAGCTTTAAGCAGGTAATAGCATTTTCTTCATTTACATGTGTTAATGTTTGAATTGTATTTTTCAGTCGCTCTTCTTCCATGTCATTATGTTTTGATCTGTGGATTTAGATCAATACTGAGTAACAAATACATGGAGGCATAGGAAGATGTATAGTCGTCAAGTGTAAATGTTCCATTTGCTTGCTAAATGATCTGAATGATCTCTAATAGGACTACATGGTTTAGAAAAAAACTGGTAACTTTTCAGCTGGTAACAGTGCAGCAATAATTGTGAAGGGTAATTTCCTCAGAGGAAAAAAAAAAAAGCAGAGTAACTGCTTCAGCTGTTGAAGTGTTATCAGGTGTTACGATCCACAGCTAGATAGATTGCGGCAAAGATCAATGTGCTCCATTATTGTGTAGACCGGCTTTCATGATCTGACTTAAAGAGCCACCGTGGAACAAACCGGGCGTGGCACCAGTTCACAGCGTTTTAGCTTTTACCAGCATTTACCAGGTTGTCTCAGACAACACCGTATGTGCCATAGGGTTATATTTAAATGTAAGTACTACAGTACAGTTGGGCAATATTATCCCTGCAACACTGCAGGCTTCCCTCCCAGCACCACACAAAAAAATTCACTGAAGGAAAATATAGCCGTGCGATGGTTGCTGAGTTTTAGACGGTGGGACTGTTTGGTTGAAAAGGGATTTGGTTTGTAGATTGCCCCTTAATGCCAATGAGGTATTTATTCAATGTAGCTCACTGAAGCGGACTTACTTTCCATATCATTTTAGAATCAGTTGATTGTTATAGTGAAAATGTTTCCCAAGGTATGTTAAAATGTGTTTTTAAAAAGCACAGTATTTCCAGTGTCACTTTAAGGGGGAACCTTGAATAAGTATGCTTGTTGCAGCTGTTCCTATCCTCTCTTTAACCCATTTTCTTCTTCCATTCTGTTTACATCATCATTGTTTTTAAGGCACATCATGAATGAACTTCTATTACATGATGCACCTTTAGAATTAACCCTGCATTTGCTGTGTATGTGTTGAGATCAAGGCCAGAAATTCAGGCTAACAGGCCCCTCCGTCTCATCGTTCTCTCTCTTTCTCCTCCCTCAACAGCAATGTCACTGCATGACTGGTACACCACTGAACTGGCCAAGCCTGGCGTGGCCCGGCCCGGCCTGTCTTTGGCCTACGCTCAGTTAGGCCGAGGCACACGCTGCATGAACTGCCCGCCTACTGTTTGCATGACTTTGCATTGACTCGAGCCTGCGAATAACCAGCACAGCAGCATGAGCACTAACAACCCTCTGCAGCGTCATGCATTGTAACCTCCAGACAAGCCCGATGAGGGATGGGGTCGGAAGAGCAAACCCTCACCCTCCTTCACCCAATTAAACTCCTTTCCACCCTTCCAGCTCCTTTCTCTTCATATTCTCCTGCGCTTTGTTATCCTCCCATACTCCCGTTCTCCTGTCCTCCACCCCCCCCC